AGTGTACTTTGTTGGATTTCCCCGACCTTTCCATTATATTTTGCTTTTAGATTTCCCTGGTAAATGCATTTCCCGAAAGGAAAATGTAAACAGTGCTAAACGCCCTGAAGTATTAAATTTATTCATTTTTACCAATCATAAAATGATATTGTCGCTTTTCTGTTCATAGTGTTAATCATATTAATCTGAAATGTCATAGACACAATCAATATTCTGTGGCAATAAAAACTCATTCCAATCGAATGTTTATTGTTAGCTGACAGAAGTGAATACTAATAAAATTAATTCCTTGTGACAAATTATCGTTAAAAGCTTTTAACACTAAAAGCTGTTCGCTTGAAGCCACCAGCTATATCAACTCGCGTGAGCGGAACTCAATTATTTCATATCCGGAAAATATCTATTGTTTGACTTGCAAGGTTTGACGCCCGCCAGGTGAACAAATATTTTGAACATACCATTTGATGACGCTTAATTCCACGTCAGCAACCTAAAGGGAAATTTTGTGTGGAATCAACATAAAATCTAACGACTCTGCTGAACGCATCCATTTCCAGTGAGGGTCTGTGGCTGAACATTGTGCCTGAGAGAAACCCAACAGCCATGATGTCCATGCTTCAGCTTGCCAGCTCAATTGTCGCCATTCTGTTCTCCATAGCAGCCACATCTGCAAATCAAGGACTTCACTTAAAGAGTCATTCCGAGGCCCAAGTCGAAGGATGCTACATCCACAATGAAACCATGGGTGTTTGCTTCGATATTGGCAAAGGCCACATGAAGTTACTGAAGACAACCGGGGAACAAATATNTTCCGAGGCCCAAGTCGAAGGATGCTACATCCACAATGAAACCATGGGTGTTTGCTTCGATATTGGCAAAGGCCACATGAAGTTACTGAAGACAACCGGGGAACAAATATTGCTTTACAGAGAACTTGGCCCTGAAATGTTGTTCTACCAAGTGTTGGATCAGGCTTTTATCGGGTAAGTAGAATCAACACTATAGAGATTAGTTTATGCATGAAATGACACAGTGGCGAATATCTGAAATGTCTCCATGTAGCAGCTGCCTTGCATTTTTATCACTACGTAGACATCGATCTTTTCCTCCGTAGATGCAAAGGCGTTTTTCGCGGCTTTCCATAACGAACGTTTCGAACCTCTCTCGAGGAGAGAGGGCATCGAGAAAAACCTGCCAGACAGAGTTTATATACTAACATGTTGTATAGAGTAATTTTAAGCCTTGTCATCTTAGCAGACCCTTTGTGGGCGCTCGTTTCTCGCTTTTGTCGTTAATTCAAGAGAAATACTGAGTACTCTATAGTACTAACAGTACTATACAAGACATTAATACTGAAGACTAAAACGGGAGGAAAACTGATAGCAAATTACATGCAGATTTTCTGAATGGAGTTTGTGTTTTTTTAGGCATGAAGGTTCTATGGCTTACGTTCCCAGTGACGTTCCCGAAACACCAGACGCGCGGCGAACCTTTTTAAGACGACAAAAAGGAATGGCAGAATACGAA